CTGAAGTTTCCGAACTTGCCAACTTCTCGAGATTCTGGGACTGAGAGCTACGAATTCAGGATTTCGTGGGCCGGGGATTGCTGGGTGTGTTTTCCTTCGGAGCCCAGCGTTCCAGAGTTCGGGGGCTTAGGGGTTTAGGGGTTTAAAAGTGTAGGAGTTTGGGTATAGGGTTTAGGCTTCAGGGTTTGAAGCTTTGGGGTCTTCGGATATGGCACTGAAGGCTCCAGAAATAAGAACCGCGAATCCCAACCGCCGGTATCTGGCTGACAGTCTGGTTTTTCACCCAAATGGCACACACATTGGCACAAATCCCACAAAAACCTGTAATACCTGTGGTAAAACCAATCAAGACCCTACAAAATCCAAGAGACAGTCCTTCTGGAATCCCTGCATTATACTATAAGTACAATAAGGAACCCCCAAAATAGTATAGGTAATTATTAACCCTGGCCATACATCCGTCTGGGCCCGCTGCCCTCGGGGCCGTACAGTTCGGAATCGCAGCAGCGCTGCCACGAGTGACTGCAGAACCTTCTCGCACTTAGGTTAAAGGCTCAGGGTCATTCCGAGGTATAAAGTTTAGGGTTTAGGGTTTGATGTCGACCCCTGATGTATAGAGCCCTGTCCTTCTTTAAAGGCCCCCAAAACTAGGACTAGGATCCCGAACCACGGCCATAATCCTTACAAGCGGGAGAGGGCGGATTGCTCAGGGTCTGCGTTGCCATTCAGAATGCGAGGGGCTTGGGTCCCTCCGCCCTAAACCGTCGAGGTTGAAAACATGCGGGCCCGTTGTGTTCAAGGGCTTGGGCACCCGAAGACTAAGAACTGAAAAGTCCGCTGTGACTAAGGATCTATGTCTGGTTAGACAGAGGATCTGGAGATGTTCATCCATACCCAGACCTTAGACCCTGAAAACCCACAAATGTCAACCCCGCAAGCCTAAACCTTAGGTACGGCCCCATACAGTAAGAGTCTATATTGGGGCTACTATGAAGGTCCGAAAATATCTATATAAGGAATATTATTCAACTATTACTGAGTGGGGGCCGTACCCAACCTAAACCCCACAAGCCCTGGAAACCCTGAACCCCACAGCCGGTGAGGATCATGAGCCTACTCGAGATAGATAACCTTCCAAATGACACTCTAAACAACCTCCGGAATGCTAGGGATAGCCCTACAAAGGAAGCTCCAACAGAACTCCAGGCAACCTCGCAATTCCTAAGCTTCATGGGGGAGGCCACAAAAGCTTTGGTCACAAAACCCTAGAAGCCCTAGAACTCGCCCCAAGCCCTAAACCCGAAGCTCGCAACCTCTAAGCACGAAACCCTAAACCAATAGATGAAACCTTCGTCCCGAAGGGTAAGGTCGCAAAGCGGGAAACCCACGGCCCAAAAATACTGTACAGGGGCGTTCGTTGCTATTTCTGGAGTTTCATCAGGCTCTCCTAGGGCTTTACGTGGATCTTAATGAATTAGGGCTTCAGGGTTTTAGGGTTTAGGTGCCTAGTTTAGGTTTAGGCCAAGGTTTCGGGGCTTCGTGTGAAGGAGAATGAGGCTTAAGCTATGAACACAGAGATAAAACAACATCAGCTGAGCCAGGAACGATTGTGCCAAAGTGAAGACAAAGGGCGTCGAGCGCAGCCGCCACATCTTTACGATTTGGGGTGGTTTATGGGGGTTTGGGGTTTTGAGGGTTTGGGCTTAGGGCCTTGGGCTTGGAGTTTGTGATTGCGAGTTTGGTGGCAGGCCGAAGCCCTGAAAGCGTCAAACTCTCTCTCTCTCTCTCCCTCCCTCTTTCTCTCCTTGCCGGATCAGCTTTGGTAAGGGGGCCATGATTAAGCTTACAAGGTGGCCTAGTTCAGCTTACCAGCTTACCCCGTTACGAATCCTCCATCCTAATCCTGTCACCATACTTCGGACATACCCCTATGCTCCGATACATGCATGGCGAACCTGGCAAGCGTGCGGAAGGAGCTGCATTGAGGAGGTGCGGGTTGGGGGAAATTTCGGGAGGCTCCAGGCTTTGGCTAGGCAGCTCAGGAGCTCAGAGTAATTTCAGCAAACCCATTGTGTAGTGCTCCCGTATCAGTGCCGTGACAACGGTTGATGATATAAATCCTGCATTACCTTAAGGACCCTAAACCCTGGGAATTATGGTACAGTCCTTATTTTGCGTAATGCAGGATTTATATCACCAACAGCAAGGAGGACGACCGGAACAACGGGCACCTTGACGACTAAACCCTGAGCCGAAGCCGTAACGCAAATTGCCGCGGTAGTTCAGGGCTTAGGGTTTAGGGTTTAGGGGTTTAGGCGTTTCGGGGTTTAGGGTTTAGGGGTTTAGGGTTTAGGGGTTTAGGGTTTAGGGGTTTAGGGTTTAGGGTTTTGTGAAGTCGCCCCAACAATAATGGAAAAGGCTCCACAGTACCTCCCAACGGTTAACAAGGCAGATGAGCCCTCATGGTCGCTTGGAGGAGTTGGGATGAAGGGATTTGGGGAGGTGGGCTTCAAATCTGCCTAGAGCCAGGAAAGCCTCACCGCTAAACCCTAAAACTAAACCCACGAAACCCTCTAAAGCAATGGACGCGTTAACCCCTGAACCCCTTGACCCTGAGATCCCTAAACCCCTTAACCCTTAAACCCCTCAACCCTTAAACCCTAAACCCCTAAATCCCTGAACCCTAAACCCCTGAACCCTAAACCCCTGAACCCTTGACGAAAGCCGTCAACCCACGCTCTTTTCGGCAGCGGCCCGGGTGGGCGAAGCTTTTGCCTGGGCCGGCCGAAAGCACATCGCATTGGGCTTAGGGTTTAGGGTTTAGGTTTAGGGTTTAAAAAGGGTTGCTTAAATGGATCTATAAGGGCTACTATACGGGCTGTGGGCTGTTATAAGGATTTTGTACAGGTGCCTTATTAATTAGAATAGGATTTTGGGCGGCCCATTATATGTACTTTAATTGTAATGAGGAACTCCCACAAGGTCCCTTTATTAGCTCGGGGTTAGGTTTAGGGCTTTAGGGTTTAGAGTCTAGGTTTCGAGGCTAAGGGTTCAGGATGAGAATCTGGACGCCTGTTGCTATCAATGGAATATGGGTGGTTGTCACAATTAGAGTCCCTTTTTGTGGTACCCTAAATAATATTGCCGTACTATAATAGGGACCCAAAAAGAGACCATAATTTTGATAACCACCCATATGGACGTAATGAGTTATTCACCAGGGTGTGCATTTTGAACAGACTTGTCCATCACGCATTAATTACTATTGCGCTGGCTGACGCTGCTCCGCTCCTGCTCCAATTCCTGCCCTCACTCCGACTACTACCACTCCTTTGAATACCACGACGACGATGACAGCTGCTGCTGCTGCAGCTGCAGCTGCATGCGACCAGCATTATTACACTGTTGTTGGCTACCAGTGTTGCCATTGCTGGTGTTCTTACTGGTAGTACTATGAGTTCTCCGAAGTCGAGGGTAATAATAGAAACAAACAGTATTATACAGGACTCTCCTTCCTCACAGGTATGCCATTCGGTGCTCCACGGCTTTAGCGCTTTCACCCTGCAGACTTCCGGCGTTAATAAACTGTCCGGCTTAGGGTTTCGGATTTTGTAGCCAATATCTACCGATTGGGAGTTTCAGGGCTTACAAAGCTCACCGCTTAACTTACCTTGGGTTACTAGGGAATGGAGGCATGGGGTACAACTATAACTACTATTGTATACTACCATTCTTCCCCATTCCCTACTAACCAAAGGTAAGTTAAGGGTTCAGGGAATGTGGCGTCGAGCTTGGACTCTAGAGTTCCCGGTCTGGGCATTAGGGTTTAGGGTTTAGGGTTTAGGGTCTGGCGCCCAGAATCGAGAGCCCCCAGCGTTTGGGTCTAGGGATCGCGATCCTGCGTCGATTTTTTTCCACCCCCCGATGCTTTGCAGTGCAGGCAAGTGTGAAAAGAGGGCGTGCCCAACTCTAGCAGAGATTTCGACTCCATATACTTACAGAGGATCCCAATCAGCCAAAGCATACACCCCAAAACCGCAAACCCCAAAACCCAGGACCTCTAACCTAACCCTTTGCGCCAAACCCCCTAATTAGTCCAACACTAAACTCTACAACCCTAAACCCCCAAGCCCAACACCTTGGGGCCTAACACCAAAATTTTCAAGCCCTAAATCCTAAACCCTAAACCCTAAACCCTAAACCCTAAAGCCCTAAATCCTAAGCTCATTATTGGACCGGGTCAAGGAGCCCTCCAAAAGGATCTCAGGTTTAAGATTGGGAAGATTTTGGGGTTTAGGGGCTTGGGCCTTTATTAGGGCTCCTCATATGAATCCTACTATTTTGGGGTTATAGGCATAGGCCCAGGGTTTCTTAATCAGGTTCCTACATTAGGAACCAAATCTGCAACCCCACGGCTCTGCTAGAGGGCAGCTGGAAGCTTCGCTTGCAGCACAGGGAAAAGCAACTAGCTCCTCGAAGACGGCTTCGGTATGAACCCTGCGCAACGACTTTCGAATACGTTGGGTTTAGAGTTTAGGGTGTACAGGCTGACGGGAAATGGAGGGATGACAACTCCGCAGGATTGCGCAAGGTATGGGTACAGACAATCCTTTTCGCTCAAAGCGGCTTCGTCGCAACGAACTTTCGGAATGTCATGGCCGGATCTTCAAACCACTGAGCCCCAAACCATACACAAAGCATAGCATAGTACATGAATCATAGTATAGCACACGGCATAGTATAGTTCAGCTTAGCTAAGATGCACCCCATATTATGATCATTCTGTACTCAGATTTTGAAAAACCCTGACCCTAAACCCTGCACACTAAACCTCGACCCTATATGCTACCTAAACACATCGCTGCATAGATCGCACCCCTTAAGACTCCTCCCTATAGAGTCTTGACAGAGCTCTTGTAGAACCGTGCACAACCCTTAGAGATGTTCAAACCATGGAAATATCCTACAAACGCTTCTACAAACCCTTAACGCAACGCTTTCTAGCGCCCCTTCAGATTCTTCATGGTCTTCTGCAACTCCGACGCACTTCGCGATATCCACGTGGAGGAGATCGGATACCTGTCGTTGAGGGTTTAAGGCTTTTGGATTGGGTTTAGAGCTCTCGGCAATTAAAGGCATTTAGGTTTCGGGATTTGGTGGCTCTTACGCTTTTCTACAGGGCTTTACAGTACTATATAAGGCTTGAAGGCTGTATAAGGTTCTACACGGCGTTATGGGGCTTTGTCGTGCTTCGGGCTTTGGGTTTCAAGTTTAGGTCCCAGGTCTCTCAGCACCTAGGGTGGTTTCAGGTTGGGGTTCAGGGTTTGCGAAACGCACAACCCCCAAACCCTCAACCCTGAACGCTAAACCTTAACCCGGAACCCTAAACCCTAAACCCTAAAACCCCTTAAACCCTAAACCGGTGTAGCATTCACGGCTTTCGGCCAGGCCCTCGTCTGGGAATCAAGGCAAGGGGCACACCGATCTTAACTTTTGAATTCTTAGGGTTTAGGGTTTAATGATTTCGGATTTAGGGTTTAGGGTTTAGGGCTTAGGGTCTAGGGTTTAGGGATTCAATTTTCTCAGGTTTCAGGCTTCGGTTTTCGGGGTGCTGGCATCTAGGCGTTCTAGCCTTGGGTTGTGTGGAAACCGGAGCCTTGGAATCAACTCCCGCGACCCTTTTCTGCCTGAGTCCTAGAGCCCCAGCTTTGCACACCCACTGAAGCGCACCTTGAAACGTTTTTTGGAGCATCCTAGGTCTGCATGACTGGGAATGAAGGCAGGTAAGGTATCTACAGACAAAACGACCAGTACACAGCAACGACAAAAAACCTCGCTCTGCACTTCTTACGAAACCCAAAACCGAACACCCCAAGCCCTGACATCTGACACCCTCCTGCCAGAGGGGCTCACACTCCCTCTACCTTCACCCCGTCATGACGCCTGAAGAACCCTTCAAGCCTTTTTACGAACTCCCAAAGAACACTTGCAGAACCCGCGAAAAAATCCCGTGAGGAACCTCAACAAATCCTCAGAGAACCTCGAAGAACCGTTGAAGAACGTTCTAAGAACCTTCACGTTGCTGTTTCTGTTGCAGGCCTGGGTGGGCGCAACTCTTGCGGGTAGAAGCCCACATCGTAGGATGTGATGGGCGGACCCTGGGGATGACTTTCGGTTCAAAAAATAAGAAGATAACGCGGGTCTTAATGCTTAGAATAGGATGTTGCGGCGAATGGTCGTAGAATTGTTATATGGGCAAGGAAAGGAATAATCTTACAATTCTTCAGACGTCTCGTTGGTATGGTGATGAATACTGATGGCACGAAAGCTTCAAGCAGTGATCGCGGTACGGAGCTCTGAGTCTGGGTTTGGAATTTCAGGGTCGTAGGGCCCTAGGTTAGGGGCTGACGAGGATTTGGTCTTCCCCTTTTGAGTGCGAGAAGCTCTTCGAGTTCAGGGTAGCAGCATCGACGTCGTCGATAGTCGAAGGACCATTCACAACCTTGTTTGCTCTATAAGCTCCGAATGCTTCGCCCCAAACCGCTTGCACGTTACTCCCAAAGCCCAACGCACAGAAGACACTAGACCAAATCGCAAACCCTGAGCCCGGAGCCTGGTAAATCTTGAAATGCGCCCCAACGTCCCAAACCCAAAACCCTAGGCCAAGTTCTAGTCCGGGTGTGAACACGTAAATCATAAAATCATAACAACTACTAAATGACAATGAGAACAGCCGTGATCATCAAAACCAAAAACCAACAGTACTAGCAAGAGTTACAATTGTCATTATAATGCATTCTTGCCACCACGTCGTATAATATGAGTAATCTTCATCCTTGCGACCATGATTGTTACGAGCACTATCACTCTTGCTATCATGATTATGCTTACTGCTATTCTTGGCCCTAAACCCGCCCCAAAGCCTAACCCGAAACACCGAACCCCTCAACCCTAAACCCCAAACACTACACCCTAAACACTGCACCCTAGACACTGCACCCTAAACACTAAAGACGAACCCCAAAACCCCAAACCCATAAGACCCAAACCCCTGCACGCTAAACCCTAAACACTTAAGCCAAAGCCCGAAACCCCAAACCGTTAAGGCCCAAACCCCTCAACCCCAAACCCTAAACACTCAAGAAAGAAACAAATAGAAATTGCTCGGTACTGTTGGCCACCCGGAAGCCCATTTATTTCCAGTCGGAACATGTCGGGACACAACTTTACCAATTTCTATAAGCAGATCTCCGGTTCAGGCTTTACTATTGCTTTGCAAGCTTTCAAGATGTCGAAGGTCTTGATTTCCTTGACAGAATTCATACCCTCAAAACCATTCACGCAGGCCAAAACTACCATAAGTGCCTATTCGGGCTGCCACTCTCCAGCACGCGTTTTTCGGCGTACCACGACACGGCACGGATGCGATGCATGCATAGGCGAGCTGTGGGAAGTTTGCGGCGATGGCGTCCCGGAAAAGCGGAAAAGCTCGTCCGGCCCTTCACCTATCCCGCATGCGTAATCATCCGTTTCAAGCCGACTGGATACGGTGCAACGTCCGACTCGGAGCACCTGCATCAAGTGTCTTCGCCACGAGGCGTTCCGACAGGACCGCTGCCATTCCGCGCACGGGCATGGTGCTCATCACGCACGAAACGCGCAGGAGCTCATCTCCTCCCACTTACTGTGAATCGGATGCTAGGTGGCCTGATACCCCAAACCCTCTTTCATGAAATCGGCTGCTCCGCGCCACCGCCACGTCGGATGTGAACGGCGTCGCTGGCTTTGGAAATCTTGCCAGTAAGTTCGCCTTGATGTCGGCGACAGGCACGGCTGCCACTGCGTCCTGCGATCTATGATGGTCTTGCATGGCGCGCAGCCATGCGTCACGTCTGGTCATATGTATTCATGCGGGGGTGCCTGCGTGACTTCCAACAGGCGGATAACGAACTGAGGCAGCTGGGTGACGCGGAGCAGCACAGTGGAGGAATGCGCTGCCGCCATCGCACGAGGGCAGCATGCTCAGTGTTCTTCCCGAATCCAACACCCTCGTACTGTGTCTTTATTTGCAGCTTCTGCCTGCGGATCTACGTAGCATTTGCTCCCGGCTAGTGTAGACAGATTTCCTCGATCCAGGTCACTTTCCTGTCCGCAACATGACGTGAGGCGAACACCTTGCGGATCTGCACGAGTAGCCCGGCCGCGTCTGACAAATCTCCTGGAATCTCCACCTCACAGGCAAAGCCAGTGTCGATGGACGGCGCATGCCTCGTCGTCGGAGTAAGCTTTGCTATCGTCGTCACAATGCACGGGGTCCTGGCCATACCCATATCACACCATGGGACGGGCTATCGCACAAGTGTGTGTCTCTACGTCTGTCTTCGCTGTTCGGACCAGGTACCGGATAGGCTACGGCTCCGTTCCCCGAGCCAACAGATTCTCACATGAAACACACGCCATTGTCCAGTCGCATCCTCACAGCTCGGAATGCTGTAGACCCAGTGAAGAGGTGAAGCCCGGGCTTGTCTGCCAGCATACATGCGTACATCGACGAAACGAGACTTCAGATTGTGCAACTAAGCCGCTGAAAGCTTTGGCTGATTTGTCGGGCGACACTTAGGCAGGTTGAAACGCTGCGAGCGTCATGACCTCGGACTGTAAACCTGTTAACTCGAGGATGTTTGATGTCGCGGGTTCTTTTGCATGGGCTTACTATCGAGGTGAAGCACGGATGACTTGCTGGCTGAGCAAAGCTGCTGTGTACCGACGACTTCTTTTCTTGCACTTGGCACGGGCACACTGACGAGGTGAAACCTGACATCCAGCGACAGGCAATACCACTCGAAGGAGGTTGCCTAAGTCGCATGGCGAAGTCTTTCGGACAGGGTCCCGCGCAGGTTTTGCGGAGCTATGTCAGCTTTCGTTCTAAGTCTGCGTGTCGAGGTTCTCCACCTGATCTCTCATGACCGCACCAGAAAATCACTCGCTGCTTCGAAGGCACAGTCGTGCAACACCAACCGTACGGGTTGCATAAGTGCTTCACTCTATGCGACTTCCGTACCAGTCTGTCGAATTAGCAGCAACTCTTGCACCCGCCGTCCTACCCCAGACCTAACAACCTCGGAGCCCCACGCCTTCCGAAGGATCCCGACCTCCGGAGCCTCACCCGCCACGGAACAGAAAACCCCGAAAACCCCGCAGCGCGCGCAGAACCAAAAAAGTCCGGACCTGGGCGAAGCAGAAGGAAAAAAAAAGCAGGGCGGTTTAAAGAACCCTAGGCCGTAGGGCCAGCCAGCACAGCCCAGCACAGCCCGCCACAACTGCGGCCCAGCTCCCGGCCCACCAATTCCCAGAACCAAGTTTCTAAAAGAAACTTTCGGTCAAAACTGTCGCTCAAAACGTTATTGGCACACAAACAAATAACACTTTCTATAAACCCTGAACACTAAAGCCTAACCCCGAAACCCCTAAACCCTAACCCCTAAACACTAGAGCCTAACCCCGAAACCAAACCCACAGACCCAAACCCTAAACGCCAAACCCTAAACACTAAAGCCTACCCGCCAAACCCCAAATCCCTGAACACTAAACCCTAAACACTAAACGCTAAACGCTAAACACTAAACCCTAAGCACTATAGTTCTACAAAGACAGCGCAGGCCTTGACCTGGTCGAAGCAAGCCTCAGGCCCGTTGGGGCAGCGTGTGTGCCGGCGCCTTGGTTGGGTGCTGTCGGGCGCTTTTGGGGTTCTGGGGCTTAGTATAGAGACCAGTATAGTAATCCCTATGATAACTCTTATAGTAACCCGTATAGTCGTACTTAGTTGCCCTTATAATTAGCTCTGAGGGAAGAGTCGGACCTTGTGGATTACTCGGTTTGGGTTGCAGGTACAAACGGCTCAGGGCTTCTACTGCCCGCAGGCGCTGCTACTTGTAGCCAGGAACTATACCTCTTCCTTAAGGTCCCCAAACTTCCGCAAAGACTACTCGCAAGTGTTCGGGCTACTGTCTACGGCTTACTCTAAGGGCTTCCATAAGGTTTAAGCTTTAGGCAAGGCCCCGATGATACTTCAAGGAGGATTCAAGCCGCGGATTACGGAGTCTCTGGCTACCACTTCCAAACGAAGGCCCTTCGAAATGAAGGTCTCTCGGTGTTCTAGCATGTTCCACGGAGACCCCCAAACCCCTGATTTAGGAATGTGCCTCGTAAAGCTTTTGGTTTGCTGGGTTACTTCAGGACCATAGCGGTCATATTGCTACAGAGAGCGCCAACCTCCGTATGTACTGCAACCAGCGATGCTGATGGGTAGACGAAAGCACAACCCTGACAACTCCCGCCAAACCTTCCAGCCCATAAACACATCGCTCAAAAGGCACCGGTGGTCGGTCAACGCAAAGTAGGACGAGTAGGAGCCACCTCTCTGCTAAGGCGGTTTGTCGGGGGCAGGGTTAGATTTCGGGCTCTCGAGGGCGTGTGGATACGTTTTGTATTTGTCGTTCTTGTCTGCTTGTGGATGCAGTTCTACCCAACTACCGCCCCGTAATACTTAAGCCGAAAAAAACCTTGCAGGATCACACAGGTAAGGCTTCAGGCTTAGGTGGTGGCTCTGAAGCTCGTTTAGCCTGGGGGCTTGGGGCTGGTTCAAGGTTTCAATTTTGGAGTTTCAGCCTCAAGGGTCTCGGATGTTTAAGGAACAGAAATTAAATTATAGGGACCTTGGTATTATGATTTAAGGTATATTCCTTAATTCAGGGATATTGGGAGCTTGCACGAGTTTGGGCTTAAGTCTTTAAGGTTTCAGGGACTTGGGTGACAGGTGAAAGGGCTTCGTGTGTTCAAGCACCTTCAGGGATTCAGCCTCAAGGCGCACCAGGATCTCCAAACGCTGAAGCTGTCAGAAAAGAGCCCACACAGGCAAAATCAAGCCCACGAAGACTACAGTCCTAAAGCCTGCAGGCCTCAAACCCCCCCCTGCAATTCCATACTATCTACAAGTACAACAGCTCAAAGGCCGCCAACCCCCAGCCCACACCCCCTCTCTGAACCCTAAACCCTAAATCAAACCCTAGGGTTTAGGGTTTAGGGTTTAGGGTTTCGAATTCCAAAAAAAACAGCGGTTAAGGTTTGCCGTAAATCTAACACTCAAAAAAATGAAACACCCTTCAGTTTTTGCTCGCAGCCTCGCTGGGCGATGTCGATTCCCGCGATCGGGCGTGAGCGATCTTCCGCCCATGGGGCACCTGGGAATAAAAAGCAACACGGTTTAGGGTTTAGGGTTAGACTTACCTTTAGTTAGAAGGGAATGGAGGAATGGGGTACAATTATAACCACTACGACTACCATTCTTCCATTCCCTACTAACCAAATGCAAGTAAAAGAGCAACAGAGGCTTAGAGCTCAAGGGTATTGGGGTTCAGGGTATGAAAATGGAGGAAACGTCGATTGTTTCAGATTACCAGAGCTTAGGGTTTAGGGAAAGACAAGGGGAAATATTTTGCAGAATAAGGCCTTCGGGGATACAATAGTCCAAATACTCATATTGGAGTCTGTGTAATTTTGTCAAGGGGGGCCTTGTGGCCAGGGCTGTCCAACAACAGAGCATTTTGGGAGGGGGGTTGGGGGCTCCATGATTTGAGGCTTGTTCTTGGCGCGCGGGGTTGTGGGCTTCGGGTGTAGGCCTGCCCGCTGTGGATTACTGTTGATGATATAAATCCTGCAGTATAAATCCTGCAGTACCCATAATAGGGAATATACCATAATTCCCATCGTTTAGGGTCCTTAAGGTAATGCAGGATTTATATCATCAACCGTTAGGGTCTATACCTCGCAGTGAAGGGTTGAAGACAACAGCGGGTATTTCTGGCACCTGAAAGATGTTGCGGGCAGTTCAGGCACTTCACCCTAATCACCTAAAGCCCGATTTTTGTTACCCGCTAGGGCTCCTCCTTTTAGCACCCCTAGTTGTGCTACTCTGATAGTTCCCAAAACCCGGTATTGTATCTCATCGACGATAAGCCCTTGGTTGTGTCGGAGAGGCTGAAGCGGGTTTTGGGGGCGTGTATTGTAATTACTGTAATTATACAACAACTCTCTGAGGAATATGAAACCTGGCACAACCCGAAAGAAAGCCTGTCCCCCATCCACCCTCTGAGGTTGCTTCCACACGCACCACCTACTCCAAGGGTTTTGGGGTTTGGGGTTTAGGGTGGTGAATTAACGGGACCTTAATGATTCGAACAGGGTTTTGATTCCACGTTGTACTATACTTAAGAATAGACAGGGAATGGTCATGCTAATCATGCCAAATGCTAAATTCGGGATTCGGTCTATCACGAACTGGGTTCAAGGTGTCCCAAACTTTCAAGGCACCACAGACAAGAAAACAACTCACAGCCGGACCCCTGAATCCTAAACCCGAAGCCCTGTACCCAGGCCCTCACCCATTACCGACAACTTACCAGCCTCATTCTTGCACAAAACGCGACGGGCCTAGCTCGCAGCAAGAATGATGACTCCTATTGCGGCATAAACAAAAAAAGATTTCAGAAATGGGAGTTTCCGAGAATAAGGGGTCCCATTTAGGGGTCCTTCTAACAAGGATCCCATTATCTAGGGTACTATGTTAGGCTCCCCTATTTTCGGAAACTCCCAAATAACTGTAGTGGTATATCATATACGGTATATCACCTAAACCCCAAACCCTAAACCCCCACATCCTAAACCCCTGAACCCCCAAACCCCTGAACTTCCTAATAATCACGATCATTTACCCACAGGCACAAGGATCCCATTATTTAGGGTACTATATTATAGGGTCCCTATTTTCCGAAACTCCCAAAATACCCCAGGGTTCCTAAGCAAGGAAAGCACTCTGAAGGCTGGCTCAACTTCCGCTGGGTGGCCGATGCCCCCTTTGGAATGCAGGGAGATCAGATCCTGAGGCGCGTGCGGCCCCTAATAGGGGCCCAAAAAACCACATAAGCAAAACTTAGGATAGGGATATCCTGCTAACCCCCGCAACTTACGAGTACTAACCCGGTGTTCCCTGCTGAGAGCCCTCGCTGTTTGGGTCGTATGGTTTAAGCAAATCCAACATCCCAAACCCGAAACCCCAATACCCTAGATCGAAATCGTAAACCCCTGCGTCGTACGGAGTCCTCACAGAAACCTTGTGGAACGCTCATGGAAACCCTTCTGGTGCCTTTGACCCTTGAACCCCTATAGACACCTTTACACAAGGTTTATAGAGCCCTTGCAGAACCCTTTATGGAACTCTTACAGACAACAATCCTTGTAGAACCCTTATAGAGCCCTCACACAAACCCTATAAGGCCCTCACAGAACCTTCCAAGGTCTCTTATACCAAAAACCCTAAACCCCAAACCCCAAAACCTTCTAGTACCCTTACTAGATCCCTTAAAGGAACCCGAAGAATTCCTTCAAACCCCCTAAACCTCTCTAAGGCTCTGAGAAAGCACGAGATCGGTCCGGCCTTCACCGTCTCGACTCTGGGGTTTCCAATGGCGAAGGGAGACCTTGCAAAAACTTACAACTACTATTACTACCATGGTGCAAGCCTGACGGAGTTTCGGGCCCAAGGGCTGAAGGTCGAACCGAAGTCTTACCTTTGGTTAGTAGGGAATGGAGGAATGGGGTATAACTATAACTACTATTACTACCATTCTTCCATTCCCTACTAACCAGGGAGACCTTGCAAAAACTCACTGGCCCATGACCCAAGGAAATAAAAGTTGAAACTGTCAGAACCGACTACCTGATAAGAACCCCAAAAAGTTGAAAGGTTTGGCTTACAGCCAATAAGAAAAAAGCTTTTGGGGGAGGTTCCCTAAACCCTAAAAACCCTAAAAACCCTAAATCCTAAATCCTAAACACCCTAAAAACCCCAAAATCCTAAACCCCTTTACGGGTTCGGGGTTCTGGTTTTGGGGTCAGAGTTCAGGGTTTGGGGTGGCAGGGCTCAGGTTTCGGTGTTGAGGGTTTGCGGGGCGAGGCCTTTGAGGTTCAATAAGGCTTCCTTTCCAAGGGCAAAAGGAGGGACCCTTAATAAGGACCCCTAGGTATATACCCGAAAATATAGCTATGATATACCCATTATATAGCCCATTATAGGGCAGGGGTCCCCATTAAGGGTCCCTCCTTTTCCCTAAACCCTAGACCCTAAACTTCCACAAGGTTCCTCCGGTGCTGCATAAGGTTTATTTACCGGGTTCTGGGAGGAATTAGGAGGCCTTCATAATCGCTAAATTATGAGAATAGTCTTCCTGTAGGGGCTTTCTGGGTCCCAGAAAAGCGAAGGGTTTTGGAACAGCTCAGGGGGAGGTTTAGGCTCCAGGCATTAATCTTATGGGGTTTAGCGTTTTGGGTGTGGTTTAGGGCGGGGGGGTTTCGGGTGTAGGTGTGAATTCGGGCGTCGGGACTTCGGGTGTAGGAATTAGGGTGTAGGGGTTTAGGGTGTAAGAATTGAGGCTCATGTGCGGAATAGTTAGGATTTGGAGGCTCAGGGTTAAGCTTAAGGTTCAGGGTACATCAAGGCCAGGATGTTCGGGTCGAGAACCGGGAACATAGCTATAGTTATGATTTATACAATGATAGCAATGATGATGAAGAAAAGCTGCAAAGTGCATAATCATGTAATGGAAAACATTCTACTTTCCGTCACAGCAGATTACCTGCTGCGCTACACTACGTCGACATGCCCTTACTCCTGCGGTCTTTCTCTGCATCGAATCTAAGTCCTTGGGCAGCCCCAACCCAACCCGAAAGCCTGCAGCCTGCCCTGCCCCTGGGTTTAGGGTTTAGGGTTTAGGGTTTTGGCCAAAAAACCCCGCTGCAGTGTCGCTTCTTGGCTTTAATGTCGTTCAGGCCCCGAAGCTGTGAAACCGCAACTCTGAGCCGCCGCACGCTGGAATAATCAAAACAGGGGCTTGGTGGGTAGACTACACTAAATCGATAGAGGGACCCTCCCTAAGGGCATGCATGCTGCTCCTAGCAATTTTGACCTCAAAACCGCTATCAATGCCTTGGAAACCTTTTAAACTCTTGTAGAACCCCTGTAAAAAATGCTATAAGCTCCTTTACCACGCCTTTTTCGCCACCAACCGCCAGGGCCCCGACCATTTCGAGACGGTGGTCTCATCGTCCCCAGGCATCAGGCCCTGTCGGAAGTTTCCAGACTTGTGAGATTCTTCTTCAGCGCTTTATTCAGGCGCTGACAGGTCGGGTTCAGGATCTGTGTGCGAGCTTCTTTAAAGGATCTGTAGGGGGCTTGGTTTGCTGGATTCCACAAGGCCTTTCAGGGTCCTAGACGTTTTAATCGTTTAGGGATCTCAGGTTCAGGGTTGTGGAATTTAGAGTGAAAGGTTTGTTCGGTGTTTAGGCCTCATAGGCCCGGTTAGGTTTGGTGGATACCAGGTGCCCAACATCCAAATCCCATTTTTCCTTGTGGAACCAAGGGTTCAAGGTACATGGGAACCCTAAACCCTCAACCCCTAAACACTTAACTCTAAACCCTAAACCCTAAACTCAGAACACTAAACCCTAAACCCTAAACCCTAAACACTCAACCCTAAACCCTAAACCCTAAACACTCAACTCTAAACTCCAAACCCTAAACACTAAACCCTGAAGACTAAACCCTTTCGACTAAACTCTAAACTCTAAGCCCTACATCCGGACCTCTCTGGGCTCGGCCTTGGGCCCAGGGCCTTGGTGGCCCTGGACCCTGGACCGTCTAAACTTCGGTTTAGGGTTTAGGGTTTAAGGTTTAGGGTTTAGGGGTTTGGGGTTTAGGCTTAGGGTTTAGGGTTTAGGGGTTTGGGGTTTAGGGTTTAGGGCTTAGGGTTTAGGGTTTAAGGTTTAGAGTTTCGGGATTGGGTTTAGGATTTAAGGTTTAGGACCGTAAACCCCATTAAACCTCACAACCCTAAGCCCACATGAGCCCGTAAACCCCCTAGACCCTCCAACTCATACACCTATAAACCATGCACTCATAAAATCAGGACCGAACCAAAACCCTTATACTTATACCCATAAACCCATACACCCCTAAACCCAGAACCCCTAAACGAATACTGTATAGAACCCCCAGATCCTACAAACTCTGAACCCGTACGACCCGAAACCTATGAAGCCCCGACACCCCTGAACCTCCAGACCTCCAAACCCCTACAACCCCTAAATCCATAGACCCGTCAACCCTAAACCCTGAACCCCCCTAAACCCCTAAACCCCTAAACCCCTAAACCCCTAAATCCCAGTCTTGCCTGAGACAGGCACTGCCCTCCCACGGCCACATGACCGGTAAGTTTTCTGAACTCGGGGAGAGATACCTCCAGGTGGTTTAGGGTGTAGGGTTTCGTGATCTAGGCTTTAGGGTTTCGGGCTTTAGGGTTTTAAGGTTTTAGGGTTTTAAGGTTTTAGGGCTTTCGGGTTTGAGGGGGTATACAGGTCTTCAAGGCTGTGGGGTTTAGGGTTTAAGGCTTGGAATGCAGTGGGGCTCGGAGAGAGTTGTAGGAGCTGGAAGGCTAAGGCATGTATGCATGCATGCACGTATGTATCTAGTATGTAGCGACGGATGGATGGATCGACACCTGCGTTTTCTGAAGGGTTGAATCTTGTGATCGTGCAGTCGTTTGTCTATCCCAAATAAAAGCATCGTTGGGCTGGCTGTGCAAGATGGCTGCTGGCTACATCCAAGCACCTAGAAATGGCCGACGGATTGGGACAATCTTGAAATCCAGGCCTGCTTCTGCATCCGAGCCTGTGCACGACTTCAAGAAAGTTGGTTCAGGGGTTTGGGATGTGTTGTGTTCGGGGTATCGGGGTTTTGGGGCTCAGAATGCTGCGGTGTAGGATTCAGGTATCTAAAGAAGACCCTAAACCCTAAACCCTAAGCCCTAAACCCTAAACACTAAGCCCTACACCCTGAACCCTAAACCCTAAACCCACATAGTCTTAGGGTTTCGGGCAACATCCAGTCCTCGAAGCTCACGAGAGAGAAACCGTGGAGGTCCACCGTGTCTTTTCTTTAAGGGCTTGGGGATTTACAAGGGTTCTGGGGTTTAGGGTTTAGGGTCTAGGGGTTTGGGGTTTAAGGGTTTAGGATCTAGGGTTTAGGGTAGGAAGGTTCTTGTAAGGTTCTGGCAGGGCGTTTCGGGTTTAGGGGTTCAGGCTTTTGGAGCTTAGGGTCTAAGGGCCTTAGGGTAGGGTTTAGCATTCCGGACGTAGGGTTTGGGGATGAGGGCGCAGGGTTGGAGGTTCGACGAGATTGGAAGGTGCGGTGGACTGAAATCCACCACTCATTATCCACACTTAGCGTTTGGGGGTGTAGAGTTTAGGGTGTAGGGTTTCTGTTTTTGTCTGCTGCTGGAAGCTCTTGGTCTTTGGGCTGCAGATTTAAGGCACCGTTCCCTAAACCCTAAAACCCCAAACCCTAAACCCCTAAGCCCCTAAACCCTAAAGGCCCTAAACTCCTAAACCCTAAATCCTCAAATCCCTAAACCCTGTTAGCCTTTGCGCCCTTCTCTGTCTTCCGGACCGGTCTCAGGGCTTAGGACTTTGTGTCCACGGCTTTAACGGTTTAGGGTTTAGGGTTTAGGGGTTTAGGGTTTAGGGTGGTTAGTTTTGAAACTCACCACCACGAGCTACAAGTTCATCTGCGACGCCTGCTCAATGCGCGGGAGGGACGTCATGGCAAGCGGCGCGAGCCCCGAAAGCCTGAACGCTCAACTCATCCGCAAGGCTGTGAATCGCGAACCCTGAGGCCTACAATACTTTTTGGGGCGAACGAACTTTCCGAAACTCTGCAGCATCTGACGACATCACGGTTGCCTCTCCCCTTCGAGGGGGTGGCAGACGCTGGCAAGCCGAAAAGGCTTCGGGCAGTGTGCATGACCACAGCGATTAGTGAAAAAGCATTCAGAATAGTAACGATTAGGGAGCAGGGAAACACCCTCAGCTTATTGCGAACTAGGAGCCGTGTTACCCCTTTAAGGGCATGCTACACTGAAACTGGGACTGTTGATTCAACGGTCTAGGAAAACCTTGGGACGCAGCTCTCGTCAACATCCGCCTTGGCAGCATTTCGGGCGACCTTGACTCCTAAACCCTAATTGAACCTTAAATGTTGGTTCAAGACTTGTGCTTCACGATTTCGGTTCAGCGGCTGGTGGCTGGGATTTAGGGCTGAGGGATCCAAAAGCCTGAAATTTCCGCTTGATTCCTCAAATGCGGAGAATTGGACTTTCTGGGTCTAGGGATTAGCGAGTGGGTGCTCAGGACGTTGGGATTTGCTGATTACGGCTCCGAGTTTCCGGATTGGGGGACTGTCTGTCGGCCGGTAGGTTCTCTCGTCCGCGTTTAGGGTGTAGAGCTCAAGGCTTGAAGATCAACATGAGGATATCATGATCACATTGTTGTTGCTAGCACTTTTGCGGTTCTTGTGTTTGCTGCCACTGCCATCGGGCCTTCGCGATGACCCTAAACCCGAAACCCAAAACACGGGCCACCTGGCCCGACCATACGCTGGATATCCTACATCCGATTCACGCCTAATTAAGGTTGTCTCGGAGCCAAAAACCCCCTACTTGGGGCTATAAACAAATAAGGTAACGAAACGAAACTTATACTTAGTTATAACCCCAGTTAAGGTACTTATAACCTTACCTACTAAGTCCCATGAACCTCCAAGGAACAACCTCAAACCCTGAGCCTGGAACCCCAACCACTAAGTTCCACGCGCAAAACCTAGACCTGGACCCCATGTTGCAGGCTAAGCCAGCTTCCAAAAACCCGCAAAGACCCGCAACTACCTACACCCTAAAAAAGAAACGCAACCATGCATGCACATATATATATATATATATGTATGTATTGATAAACCTTTCTCTCCGCTCTCCCTCTGCCTCTCTCTCTCTCTCTCTCTTCCGCTCTCTGTCTCTCTCTCTCTCTCTCTCTCTCTCTCTCTCTCTGTGAACCCACTCTCTCTCTGTCTCTTCTCTGTCTCTGTCTCTCTTTCTTTCGTCAGGGCTGTGGGCTGGGGATTGCTCCCCCGCCCCCTCTCTCTCTCTCTCTCTCCCTCCCTCTCTCTCTCTTTCTCTCTCTCTCTCTCTCTCTCTCTCTCTCTCTCTCTCTCTCTCTCTCTCTCTCTCTCTCTCTCTCTCTCTCTCCCTCCCTCTCTGGTTGAAACTTTAACCTTAAACCCATAGCCACATGTGTCGTAAATCCTGCACTTCGAACCTTCAAGGGAGCAAACACTGAAAGACGAGCGGCGCTGCGCTGCAGCAGCGCGATGCGCCGCTCCCGGAGGATTTCACCAGGAAGGCCAGCTGACTCAAACTCTGCCTGGGCACGTATTAAGCAATCCTTTAGGGTTTAGGGTTTAGAAATTTGAATGTGGGACTTACGGTTTAGAGAGTCCAGTCCAGCAACCGGTTCGATAACAGCTTTGGAAGATTCCCACAAAGTTCTGTGATGGTGCTGGGTTTGTTTGGTTCAGGTTTCAGTGGCGGGATTTGACCGTCTTGAACTCAACCTTGGCACGTGATTTCGGAATAGATCTTTGCCGGGTCCAAACAACAACCCTGCAAACCTAAATACCTAAAACCTAGGGTTTTGGGTTTAGGGTTTAGCCCTGAAACCCTTACCGTTCCTGTGGTTCGAAACAGTCTCGCAAGCACATCTAGAACAGTAGCAATGGTACACCCCGCCCGCGCTTTCACGGCTTCGAGACCATCAACCTCAAACCGTCCCTACAGTACCCCATAACAAGGAAAACACCCGTAAACGAAAAATGCAACAACAACAACAACATCAACAACAAACACTTGAAGAAAAAGCTGCAACAACAGGAAAAGCTAAAAAACACTCCTCTGATAATGAAGGCCCCGAGAAGACATGCAGCCCGCGAAGTCTCCTCCCTGTCGGAGACATGCACTGAATCTAGTATAAGGGGCCTTGATAATCACCTATACTATTTTGGGGGTTCCTTGTCGCATTTATAGCGTAATTGGCCCCAAACCCTATTCCAATGATTAAGGCCCCTATGCTTTTGCACCCTTATAGATCCCTTATAGACCCCCTTTAAAGGAACCCTTTGAAGGGCACCTTAGTCTAGTTAGCCAGGCCCCTATATTTGAAGCCTCTAGGTCTTTGAGCCGGCCTCCAGGCTGCACCTGTATACGGTTGGGGGCCTTAAGAAAAAAGAGCATTATACTTTTTAGGGTTTTGGGTTTAGGGTTTTGAGGATTAAACGAGTATTATACTTTTTAGGGTTTTGGGTTTAGGGTTTTGAAGCTTAAAAGAGTACTATACTTTGGGTACTGCCCCCATACAGTAACAGTCTATAATAAGGCTACTATTAAGGGCCTAATATATCTGCATTATAAAGATTACTCAACTGTTACTGAGTGGGGCAGTACCCAAATTATACTATGTGCATAAGAAGGACCAGTAAGGCACCTAAATTAATTACCGTTGGGGGTTTACGGTTTCGGGGGTTGAGGATTTAGGGTTCCGGTTTAGGGTTTTTTGGAATATCTTCAGGCTACGACCTTACGTGCAGGAAAAGCTCGGTGCAATCTTCTTTTCGTGGAGTGACAGGCATTGTCGAAGTCACTTGAAAGTCTTCGCCTTACCAAGACCCGCAGGTCTGTCCTCTTGTCAGACAGAGCTGCAACGGTGCCCGGCGCCATAGTACAGGCAGGGACGACTTCAAAACAGGTTGATGTTACATAGGGGCCGGAATCACTGCTACGGGTAACAGCTTCTCCTTCTGCTCTCCGATACAACTATAGTGCAGTATAGCCCCAAACACCCTATTCAAACTCTCCAAAACCCCTATGGTATATCGGATGTACCGACGTTCACGGTATCACGGCCTCTTGCACGGCCTTGCCTCTTTTGAGGCGCAGACTAAAACAGCAACAGAAACCGCAGCTCAGCGCCAGCATCGGGAAGCCTTCGTCTCACTTAGGAAACAAAAAAAGGGATCCCTGTAGGGTTAAGGGTTTAGGGTTTGGGTGGGTTTTAGTCAGGTTTAGAGTTTAGGCGAGTTTAGGGTTTAGAGGTTTAGGGCTTAAGGGCTCTACTTCAAACTTGTCGGAAACCCAAACCGCAAGAGCTAACCAAGATCCTTAAGATTGGCCAAGAAGCAAAGGATGCCAAGGGCAAGTAAGCCGTTGAACCCCGATTGGTCTCCATCGTAGGTAACCTTGTGCAGAAAGTAAAAAGAATATCCCAGAGCTGGGATTTAGTATATTTTTCCCTTCATAAGGTAACCTTGGCTGGCTTCTGAACCCCTCTAGAAGACTAAAGTTTTCGCGTCCAAACCCGTTAAAGCTCTAGGACTTAGTATAGGGGCCTTAAAAATTAGACTCGGGTTTTGGAGCCCATGATACCATACTTCTAATAGTATAGGTACTTATTTGAGCCCCTATAGTACGAGCCGACCAGACTACAGGCAGGTAGCGACTTCTGTGCCTCCATCTCCACCATATTGGCCATTGGGAGTGTCGGGGAAGTAGGGGCCTGCATGGGTCCAGGGTGTACTTGGAGGTTCATGGGACTTAGTGAGTGCAGTTATAAGTACCTTAACTGGGGTTAAAGGTACTTGTAAGTATAGTTACCTGGTTTATAACCCTAGTTACTAAGTCCCATGAACCTCCAAGTAGGGCTTCCGGGTTGAGGGTTCAGGGCTGTTGGGTTTAGGCTTTAGGGTATTTCAAGGCTTTGGGGCCTTTTGGCTTTGGGTATAGGGTCGAGTTTGGCCTTCGTCGATGATGTAGATGGAAGCACTGGGATACAGCTCCATCTCTTCCGGTCGGATTCCGTAAATCGAGGTGCAGTACCTATGCTCCCGGGGCTCCCGCAAACATGATGGGTTAAGGGGCAAGGGTTTCCTTACTGCAAATAAAACCCTTTGCCTCTTATCCAGATGTCAGTTTCGATAAGGAGAGCACACCAACAAAAAGCACACATAAACGGCACCTAGGCACCCCATCTCTTCATATGCCGTTATGAGATCCATCTCTTTGTCCCAGACGGTCTTGTGAAGGCTGATAATGGAGGCACCTGCAGCTGCATGGAAGATGCCGGTCTTCAAGAAGAAGTACAATCCCAGAGGTGCATAGCTGCCTGGGTGTAGGTACACCGAGACATGGTTGTCCAAGCCTGCTTCCTCCAGCTTGTTCACCATGAGCCGTCCCGTGGTGGGGTAGCCGGTCGCAAAAATCGATGAAGACTTTGCTGAACAGGTGGACGTCCGCAAAGCCTCCACCGAACGCTCTGCAGCGACATCGCTCTTCACATCGAAGTCAAAAGCCACTGCAGGGTTGCCTGTGTTCTTGCTAAGGCGCTTAATTTAAGTTACCACAACAAGGAATCCCCAATAATAAGGAAATCCTCATATTCAGAAAACCATAATATCAAGGAAACCACAATATTGAAGAAACCAGGCTTTTTTACTATAGACCCCTACTATGGCATCTGAAACTCTAAGTTCTTTAACAAATATTCTTATTCAATAATATATTCTATATCTTACAATTGAAAAGAAGATTATAAGAACCCAGTTGCTGGTGCATGCATCTGTTACGGTCTCACCAAGTCTTGGGATCCTCGTCGTGGTGTCGTAGGTGTGTCCATCCACTTCGGCAAGTACTGTCAAATCCTTAGTCGCTGAGTTCATGAGCCC